GCGCACTTTCATTCAGGCTGGCTGTGGATAGCCTTCAGGGGGGTCTGGGGGGTGCTATAGAAGAGAGAGTGCTGTGTAAATACGAGCTCCTGTGTTTAGTTCGTGTTACGCCACTAGTTACTACTCGCCGTGGGGGGGTGTTAAGCTTTACATTTCCACCTTCTCATTGTCATAGACGTTGTATGTTAGACAGTCAGTTTTTGGCAAGTGTGTGGTTGAATGTGTTACTTGGCTCAAGGCCCCCTTAGCTGAAGAAGCAGTGGGATTAACAAAAGCTACTTGCCATCCACATTTGATCCACACGTCAGATCAAGCTGAGCTGTGGTGACCAGTCGTGAGAAAAATTTGCGTGGAACCAAGGGCGCTGTGCTTGTGGTTTACAACCCCGTTATTGGTCAGTTACCCTTTTACAGTACACAGGAGGGGGAACTCCATGGTAACACCTCCAGTGGGATCCGCTTCAGAAAATCTTGCGGCCCACGGATGCGGAGCCCATCCCTCGGGCCAAACTAGTGGAGGACATCCAGCAGATGATCAACTGGATCACCGACTGGCCCGAGCTGTCCTCAATTTCCGAGCCGCAAGATCTCTGAAAAAATCGGAACCTTCTCAATGCCATCAGACAGTATTCTTCCTCACCATTGGGCGGGGCTCACTGATGATGCTGGGCATGAGGATGCAACAGGGGAGGCTATATAAAAAGGCAGCCGCTCACTCAACAGGTGGGCAAGATGCTGGGCTGGAGTTAGAGCTCTGTCCGCGCGCTGCGCCTGGAACGAGGCAGGATGCGCAATTCCTCTGCGCAATGGCCCATTAGAAAAATCATCCTCGGCAACAGCGGGAACCAGTGTTACTTGAACAGCTTGGCCTTGGCAATGCCCCACGCGTGCGTGCAGGATACTGAGTGGCACAGTCTACATGGCAACCCGGTGCATTCCAGGCTTTGCTCACGTGAGCAGGTGATACTCCGTAGCTGGATTAGGCCCGGCGTGCAGCGTGACATATGTGAGTTGTGCCACTCCATTAGTGCCCGCGAAAATTTGCCATGGTTTGAGGGGATGTGGGAAGCCAGAGCCATCATGGACGGTCATTGCTGCTGCCTTGATCAATCATCCTTGCAAACACCAATTGCTCTGGACCTAGTTGCTCCTGCCACCACTCGGGGCCTCATTGATGAATGGCACGGCAATCAGCATGGAGTACAGGCGTTGGTGAGTGCTCCGGAGTGCATTGCACTTCACATAAAAAAGGTTCAGTGCCGAGGGTGAGAAACAGCAGCTTCATGTTTTGCCGCTTGATCTACTTCCCAACATTCCTAGAGAACGTTAGCACGCATCCGGTCGGTTATCGAGTTGATTCCATTTTGTTTCATCTCGGTAACGGACCGGATGTGGGCCACTATCAAACAGGTCTGCAGCGAGACATGCAATGGTACGTCACCAATGACGGCGTGACACCGTCCAAGGTCAGCAATGACTTTCTTGCCTCCAGCGTGGCCGCCAACTCATACTTGTATATGTGCAGCAAGGTTCGCTAGCCGCTAACTGTGTGTGCACCCGCGTTGTCGCCCTGGCCTAACCAGGTATGGGCACCTATGGCTAGGACATTAGGACCGTCGCATAGGTTGTGGAGTGCCACGGCACTAGCTACATAGCGTAGCCGCGCATCGCCGCAAGAGCGTGTGCGCACTGCCCCAACACGGGCGTGAACGATAGACCTCTGACCCCCATGCTGCGTGTGAATGATTGGACAGACTGCAGATGTGCAGTCGCCGCCAAAAAATTTCCATGTTTGGAATAATTTCTGATTTCTTCTCAAATCAATTTCTGTCATTTCGGTGATGGAAATTTGATTGGGTGTTTGAGCATTCGGTATTCTCAACATATGCGACTGTTTGAGAAATGTTCACCTGTGAGCAAAAGGCGTGAAACATGTTTCATGTTGAGTTTTGCCCAAGCATGTGTACCGTGGTTGCTCCCACCCTCCATGCCCGCCCACACCATGGGCAGGCAGAAGTGCTGTCCAGGTTTCCGAATGCAGCCGTGCACTGGGAACATGTTCCCCAGTCGTCACAAGTGCAGGTGGACTGAATAAAAAAGACAGGTCCATGCGTCCGCTGCATCTCTGAGATGAGTAATATTGATCGGTCATGTCTGGAAATATGTGACGAGGAAGATTTGCGAAATGATGGATTTCAGACCAAGAATGGTCCATGATTTGGAAATAAGATAGGTGCTATCTCAAGCTCGTAAATCATCTTCTGAAGTTGATCAAGAATTTTGCCCATGACCTGTGCATCGACCGATTCCCCAAAGAATCCGGGCACACGCACACACATTAGGGGCACATGCGCAGGTTGTTCGTCTGACACTGTGACGGACGAGACGGTTTGTGAGTCTCAGGGATCCGGAACGGCCGCAGTTCTGGCTCAACTTTGGGCATGAATCCATTGTCGTTTTCGCCACTCCTCTGACGAGTGTTTTGCGATTCGCGATGGTGGGGCAGAATTTTGGTTATCGTGAGTTTCATTTGGTATGGTGGCTGCCATTTCAACACGTATATCTATTCGGGTTTCGGGGCAGATTTTAGCGTTAGCTCCTTTGATTCTTTGGGGTTTTGCGGTTCGAGCTTGTCTTCAAGAACGATTAAGCGGTCCCGCAGCTTGGCAAGTTCCGCATCATGTTTTCCCTCCATCGTGGTGCTTGCGGATCTTGGATTCTACAATTGGAAGCCGCCCAGCCGCCCAACGAAGCCCTTGGGACAGGTCACAGCTGATGACATCAGATGTGGGCTGGTGGCCGATGATCCGGTACCTCAGCTAGTCAACTTGAAGGACGTGATGCTGCCCGTGAGTTACCAGGAACTGGAACCTCAATACATGAAAACTGGCAGCTTTCCATCCCAAGGCGGCATGGCGGCATGTCTCCACGTGCTTGCCACAAGAGGAGTGAATTTTGGGGACATCGATTTTCTGATAGGCGGTAGCGTCCTAGCTTTTTTGTGCGGGCAGGGGAAGAAAGGTGCCAAGTACCTGGCGCAGATGTGCCCGAGCACGAAAATGGTCATCGTGAGCAAACACAAAACCTACACACAGAACTTTGGCCAGAGGGGTTTTCAATTTGAACGGCTCGTGACTGGTCAAGACATGTATGGCTTGCATGATTTGACAGCACATGAACACCTACAACTTCTCCGCATCGGCAAGTTCCGTGTTCTCGCCACGGCGGAAGTGGACGCTGTCGATGATCAGGGAAGGCCTGTGGAATTGAAAAGTAGCAACCCGCGTTTTTTTGGCATCGACACTTTGCTCCAGATGGTCTCGAGTGGATCGCAACTTTTGCTCCATCCTCACACAACGGGACTGACAGTCGAGAAAATTCATTGCATACCCATGGAACAATTAGCATCTAAGGTAGCTGAAGACGTGAAGGAGACAGATCGTCAAATTGTGGCAGCATTTGAGCGATTGGATGCATCCAAGGAGTCGATGACCAATGAACGCTATTCAGTCCTACCTGATGGTCGTTTGAGGACGGCAGAGGGGGAGGCATTGCTCCCCCAACAACAAGTAATCGAGGACCTCCTCAAGGATTAAGATTTGAACTGGCAGAGTTGTCTCCAACTCACCGATTCAAGAAGGACGAGTTGGCATTGTCAATCTCGGGCGTGTAGCATGACATGTTGCTACATGCAGCGCAAGTTAACAGAAAAGCTTCGCCGCAAGCAGGCAATTCATGTTTGAACGGCCCGCAGCACTGAGCACAGCGCCCTCTTGTTCAGTGCAAACCGCAGATATTGTAGGTGTGACACATAGCAAGCAGTGGACAATATTTGGCTTTGCCATCACACGAGTCTCATGTGTTTTGGCGGCTGGTTTTGCACACCCGTCTGGATTTTGGCCCAAGGGGTGGCAAGAATTCTCCTGTCTTAGTCTTGACTGCTGCTCGGCTTGTGGAAGAGTTTTTTGTGCACACGCGTTCCAGTAGCCAAGTAGTCGAAAGCAAATCCGAGTAGGTGACTCATCATCCCGTAGTGCGGGATCTGTTTGGTTGATTGAGGAAATTGGCCCATAGGCCTCGAACAGCGTTGAGGCAAGGCTTGGACATTTCACATTACAAAAGGGTTGATCTTGTTTGTGGGTGCATAGATAATGTTGCATGTTGGATCTGTCCTACATACCGCGGAGCTTTGGATGCTCCCTACATTGCCCGTTTATTGCCACGACATATCCACAACCATCACCATACTGGTCCTGAATGGTTTTAATTAAGGGCGAATATTTGCTGTTCTGGTAGCGGTTAAGGTCACAGGAAACACCTGACCCACATGTTGTACTCAGACCCTGCTTCCATTTTATTTTCCACTTTCCTCTGATCAACTATTATTCGGGTACTGTCATTAAACCCCAGACCCTGTATAGCATATATAGGCCTTATTGCGGTAATGTTTCTGACATTTGGACTTTCCCATCGCCAGGCCAGGGCCTCCATGATGCTCCTTCCAGTCCTACGACCAGTGACTGGGCGGAAACCGTTTTTTTTTTTTTTTTTTTTGTTTATTTTATGCCAGGAACACTCGATCCTAGACATAATAGCACGCTTTCTTGTATGGACGTGCAACTTGCAAACTGATGCCTCGTGCCATGGACCATACATTTTAAAGTGGCTTGACTGGTTTTATCTTGCAAAGACCTTCAGCAGGTGCAGAAATCAGCATCGCGGTTGCTGCTGGCTGGGACACATACAGCTGCAGAGCTCACCACAGACCATGGCGTTCCTTTGGAGGCTGGAGTTTGGAGTCCAGAATTTGAGTAATCTACATTGGAGTCAGCAGCGGGCTTTTTCCAGGTGCAGCCTCCTGCCACAGCGGTCTATCACCCAAACGTGGCGCATGCCCCGTTCCGTCCTCGGTTTCTGGGGCATTGCTTCTTGCTGGAGTTCGATTCTGCAATATTGTTCGAATCCGTGAATACGGCAGTGCCCGAGGATGCACAGTGAGCTGTCGTCCAGGCAGATAAACGCGCTCGCTGCAACCCAAGTGCTCGAGATAGTCGCAGAATGTCGTCAAGCCTTCCTGCTCGATCGCTATAGACTCACTATAGACTCACTATAGACTCTATAAACATAGCATGATGGATCAAGGCACAACCAACCTGGGGCGGTAGATGGCCAGTTGCCAGGGCCTTGGCCACCCGCAGCACAGCAAGCTCTTGCCTGAACAGTCCTCTGCCACTGGGGGAGACAGGCCGTGGAGAATGTCCTGGCACAGGGTTCTGGCTCTCTACTGAGCTGATGAAGCTGTGATGAACATCTCCTAGGCTGCAGGGTACGGAATGGAAAGTCGGAATCCTGTTGTGAGGTAGGATGACAGAGCAGATTTTGGTTGGGCGTATGTAGTACATGCACCTGTCTGGAGACCAACATAGAAATCCCACGATGCATGACATCAGATAAACTCTTTGCAAGGTTCGCGCAGCTCCAGCCAGCCTCAGCAGGCCGCACAGGTGCACCAGTCTATTATAGTCAGCTAGAAAAATATCATGCGTTTTCTTGTGTATTTGGACAGTTAGATGCGGCATCATATGATTCTAGTTCTCAGGCGTGGCCGGGAAGGTTAAACCTGTCGAGCGTTGGAAGTTGGAAGGCCGATGAATTCACTCAGGAGCTGCAGCAACAGCTCCCCAGTCAGGCCGCTTATGATTCAACTGCCCGCATACATAACATTCATGCCCCAATGCAGGATGGACAGGCCTCTTCAGAGTGTCCAAGCGGCACAGCAAGGGATGCTTGCTACTGCACTGTGCCTGACTTGACAGCATTTGTTCTGCCTGCTGAGGACAGGTGCCCAGTGCATGTGGCAGCTAGATGCCCGTGCTGTTTTTCCACCTGGGGCCTATGCTCTCCTTCTGAAAAGCAGAGGTTGTTTGTTTTTGTCACCTTCTCCTGAGGGGGGGACGACGTCAAGTTGCTTGAATGACCGCCTGTGCTGTAAGGTGTGGCCTGCGATTTTCATGACCGGCGATGGCTGCTTCACGGGAAGGGGCCTTAGCCTTCTCTCCACATCAAGCCTGTGAAAATGAAGACCGAGGTTTCCCTGTGGGCAATGTAGCATCACAGGAGGTCGCAGCGCAGGTGCCCTTATGTCGGTATTATCATCCCCGCTGTAGTCCTGGCTTTGAGTTTGACAGGTCCAGACAGGAGCAGCCCAGGCAAGCGATGTAGCGCAGCCAGCTCAGGTGAATGAGGCTGGGCAAGTCTTGCTACAGGTCATCCCAAGTTCCCTTGTGGAAAGATGCAAGGCGACTTCAAACGGCTCAAACTCACCTCGTGCCCCTGCCAGCAAAGAAAAGTTTCAGCTTAACTTTCCAGACCTAAGCTCATTCTGGGATGGAGATGGCTGCGCGGGTGGCCAACTGAAAGTGCTTGAAAATAAGGAAATGGCATCAGCCGCACGTCCGCTAGCCGGAAGCAGCGTCGCCGTTTGAAAGCAGCGAATGCGGATTCTGTAAAGAGCTCTGCTGCAGAGGAACAGTCCCTTGGAAGAAAGTGATGCAACTGATATGCAGAAGCATTTTGCCTTTTGTGGGAGCTTAGCAGCCTCCTTCCAAACACAGATCCACCATGAACTTTTACAAAAAGCAGCATATTGCAGGCTAGAGAAGGCGCATCCAGCGCTCCCCGGCCTGATCAATGGTCCCCGTGCGCAGCAGGCGCTGCGACAGAAGCTGATTAAATGCATTGGAGTTCAAGTGCCGTTGCTCTGGTAGGTGGCGACCTCTTTGCCAGTGTGCCCAGGGCCTGTACTTCCGGAGTCGCCTGCCGAGGCATCTGAAAAGATGGCCAGCTACGTTTAGCTGTGGCATTCGCTTGGCATAACTCCTCAATCTGCCAGGCCCAGCAGGAGGAGGTCTCACGCAGTCCGGTGAATTCTGAGGGCCCTGGCCAGCTCTGGCCGCCGACACCCGAGTCTACGCCGCCATGCTCTCCACGATTTCAGAGCTTCTGCGCCTTTCCAGGCCCGTTTTGTGTGAAATCCGTATCTACTCTTTGTCCTTCGACCTTACACGAGTCCAGGCGTCTGGCATGTAGAGATGCCAAGCATGATCTTGCCAGAGCCGGTGGCGTTGCCTGAGATGCCGACGATGCAAGTGGAGGACATGCAACAGATCAGTCAATTTGTTGGGGTCTTTAATTAACAGATTCCCACGTCTCAAGTCCAGGATCTCCCGGATGCCGAATCCCAGGCATGCGAACGGATGATCTCCCAACTGGACGAAGATGCCAGTCGAGCAGAGGTGAGAACCTGAGGGATGAATGCTCCCGAAATCCAAGTGCTCAAAAGAGTTTTCAGGTGATGGAGGCGCTTTGGACTTCCGCTTGGTCAATGGCCTGCACCCCTGGCGGCACTCGTGTTGTCCAGAAGGCGTTGGAGGTCGCCGTGCCCTGGTTGGCAGGAAGCACCTTTTGTCACTGTTGCAGAGAAGGCCCATCTTAGTTTTTAGTGATGTCTAGTTGTCTGAGGACACCACGGAGCGCAGCTTTCCTGAAATGTCAGCTTTTGATAGCTTCTGTGGGTTGATCGACCATTTGCATGTCTCCGGCTCCTGCGAAAGTCCCAGGAATTTCTCTGGCAGAACAGCTGCAGGGCCACGTCAAGGAAGCTTTTGCGTCACCCCATGCCAACCATGTTCTTCAGACACTTGTCCGTGAAATTCGGTAGGTATACAATGCAGTGGGAATTCTCATGCTTGCCACAGCAGGAGGGTTTCACTGGATCTTCCCAAGGAAGTGCATCGAGCTCATTCCTCCAGACCGCCTCCACTTCGTTCTGTCTGAGATGCTTGGGCATGCAGTTGCAGCAGCACGGCACCGCTATGGCCCAGCCCTCAGTGATGAAGGACACGAGGAGTCTGACGTCTCAGTTAGCAAATCTTGTGGAATGTTTGAGGCTGCCGTGTTCTGGAGCGTCTCCTGGAGCATTGCCCCAGTGAGCAGACGGCTCCCCTGGTTGAGGAGGCACGACCATTCGACAAATACTCCTACACCGTGTGTTCACCACAATTCCGAGTGCTCAGGTCCTTGCAGGAGCTCCGCAACTTTGTCGTCACACCTTCGGAAACTTTGTTGTGCAGCACGTGCTCGAGCATGGGCTGCTCAGCTGTGATTCAGATTCAGATGCATGCGCAGCTGGCCGGGAGCGTCGCAGCAGGGATACACATTTGGACACAATTCTAAAGTTTGGGCCGCTTTTGGCACCCTAACCTGCACTGCAGCCATGGCAAGACTCGGAGATTGTCCTCTGCCACCTTTCTGTCCACGGCTGATTGATAGATAGAAACATTCCAGAGTCACTGGGTTCTTCAGCCCTGATCAAGGACGGTCAGTCAGAAGCACCAAATCGTGGATGTCATTCACGCTGATATCCAGCGTTTGGCGCGGCACCGCGTTCCCTGCTGCAAGCAACAGGAGAACTCTGGATGGAACAGATGCTCTAAGCCTTTCGATGCGATAAGGTCGCCAGTCACGTTGTGCGGTGCGCGCTGAAGCACAGCACGCCCGAAGACAGGCAGCCTTGCAGCCTTTCATGTGAAGAAATGGCTGCAAGATGTTCCCAGGCAGAAGCTGGTGCAGGCCATTCGGCGCTGACCTCAAGCAATCCTCAACCAATCCACAATGAATTTGTGCTACTGCACTGCTGCTGGTCTCTCTGTCTCAGGAAAGACCCTGCAGACCTAGCAGATTTGGCTCACCATCATTGCGGAAGCTTTGTGCAAGCCTGAGAGAGCTGTCAGGTGCAAGAGGGAGTAACCCACATCACGATTGTTTACCTGGGTATGTCCAGAGCAGATATGACTTTGCGATTTCACAATTGTTCTTGGAAAACGATTGGGGTCCATGCTTTCCCCCATGAGAAGCCTGTCAAATGACGGGATTGATCTACCCAATCATAAGCAAGTATTGAATTGCGATTCTGGCCACAAGCCATACCATAATGGGGGTCAACTGAGAATGTTGAGAACGCCTTTCAAACGTGCAGTTTGTGTCCAACTTAGGTTGTGCGAGAGATGCGTCGTTCAGACGGTTTGCACCGCTGAGGCTTTGCAAGTCTGTTATTCTAGGGTAGAAAAATGCCCCAGCTCAGCGACCTGGAAGGAGTGGAGGTGATGATTGCGCGGAAGGGCTGTGTGTTGACACAGCCTTCAGTGCTGTAGGAGTCTAGGCCAATACTGCCACGTGGAACAGATCCTTCTCCGGCTTGGCGTGGCCTCAGATTTGCAAGATGAGTGCTAAATAGCAGATGCATGTTTCGTGCCGGAGGCACGACAACGAAGTGTGGGTCCAACCTTTCCTGTGCAATTAGATGACAGCTTCAGCTAATTTCAATCACTTCATCTTTCAGTCAGAATGTGGCTTGCATGTAGCACTGTGACCTGCAACTTTCCATTGTACTTTCCTTGGCCAGCATCCTCGCCATGTCCGCTGTAGGAAGAGCAGTTGGCATCTACAAGTCAATTCTGACTTTGAGTGAGGATGTGGTTGCTAATCGTTGCTACGGCAAGCTGAGCGGAAGTCTGCACGGAACACAGGCAGCCCCCTCTCCCAGCATCTTGCCATAGCTGTGAGAGTCTCGAGGGCTGCAAAGTAAGACTCGCATTTGAGACCTGCCCAGGCTACTCTCACAGCGTTTGGGATGCCCACTAGCTACGGCTTAGTCCCAGATTTTCCTTGGTTGACCACCAAATCGCTGCACTGCGACAGCGTTTGCATTTGAAGCGGGATGTCTTCACCTGCCATCAGGGACACTGATTCCCAAGACCACCACCAGCACATACCATCACCTGTTCTGAAGCCTTCCTTGATGTCAGGTCTTGTGCAAAAGCGACTACCGTTGCGCAGAAATGGTTCCATAATGCGGTTTGCAGGTTGATTAGCCTGCGAAGTCTGCTTACACTCCCAGACTCGGTGAACGCGTTTCACCGGCGTTTGTTGCTTTAGTCTGCTGCCGTAAATGAGAATAACCTGGCATACTTTCAGACATCAAGTTCTGCCAGCAGATGCGATCCGAATGCCAGCCTCGAAAATCACGCCTATGGGGCTCGTGGCGACGCTGCTTGCCTCCCGAGCTAAGATGGCTCAGTACGGGGGTGCGAGGTGCATGCTGCCCTCCAAGCATGAAGAGATCTTTTTTTGGTCTGGCACTCTTCTTCCCACCCAGCAGGGGGTCACATGATCATGCTTTGAGGGCCGTACAGTCGTGGTGCAGTAGGCTCCGGGCGATGCTTCCACACCTTTTGTCTTCAATGGATACGTTGGACTGATTCCTTACTCAGCTGGTTCCTTGCAAGAATTGTAAAACGGGGTGGATCGCGCTGATCTTGTTCATAGTTCCTCAATACCCCTCTTTTGCAATGACTGGTCTACGGCAGCGAGACAAACATCTAGCGCAATCTCGGTTGCCTGACATTTCCGAGCTTTTGCTGGCAGCAACAGTCAGTACCACAGGATGCGTTTGCAGCTGTTTGCCCCAGCAAGACATAATTCCACAGCCTAACCTGGGGAGTGGCATGTCTAGTGCAGTGCAGGGTGTTGTCGCCAGCGGCTTCAGTAGCCCACGCAAAGCGCTCGAGGTCAAGATTTCTCCTGCGCTGTGTAGCCAGTTGAAAGTTGAAAGCACGAAGTCTGTTACAGTTCCAAAAACCACAACATGGTATCGACGTGATGAGGCCAAGCAAAAAACAAGTAATATGGAAACTGCCACATTGCTGGGGGATTTGTTCCCTCCATTCCTCACTCACCACCAGTAGTTTTGGCAAAGATCCCATGGACCTCGCCGCACTTCAGGGTGCCCGGAGCCTGGGATGCTTTCCAGCATAGAATTTCTGTGAGCTCCTCATCTGCCAGGAGCTGAAAGCGGCCAAGGAGCGATGGGAGGATATGAAGCTGGGCAAGGCCAGGCTTACACCTTAGATTACTAGCATGATTATAGGGGCCTTGTTTTGGTATGGATCTGAAGTAGGGTATATGTAGATAATGCTAGGGTTTGGGTATGTCAGAGACAGCTGAGTCTCTTCATGTTGTGTTTCGAAAGATACACACACATATATACATATATATATATATACACATATAAGCCATCCGTGATCGCAGAGCCAGGCCAAAAAGGAGGCTGAGACTTTCCCGTTTCCGGTTTGGGCGCTTTTGCCAGCGTGCCAAGGCGGCACCCAAGGAAAACGTTCTTTCAGGAATCTGTCGAATTGGAACTGAGATGATCTGAGCTAGTCTGGCGGGTCATATGATCCCTGAAGTCCGGAATGGGAAGATTGGACTGCTAAAATGGTGATCCCAGTCTAGCTCAAATTTCATCCCAATCAGCTCTCGCACACCACACATTCGCAGGGCACAACTCAACCTATGAGACATTCACCCGTAACACTGGAAAGAAAGTGTTCTCTCATCGGCAGTTTTATGTATACAAGGGGTACAGTGGCAGGAGGGCCCCGACTAGGGAGGTATAGACTACACTGGGCTGAGCACTGACCAGTGCGTTGAATTGGCGGCATGGCACTATCGGCACAACACGCGGCAACCTCCTCCACAAAGCCCCACAAACATTCTAGGGTTTAACAAATGTGACTTGGTCTTGCATAGGGCTGGAAACTTTAAACCATTATATCACCAGTTTCCATTTCATTTTCCATTTGATTTTCCATTTGATTCTCCATGATTGGGGGTTAGCCCAAAAAATGCAAATCCAAGGCAGCAGCCTCGGGCAGCTAAAGCCTTTGCACCTTGACCGCAAGGGCAAGTGGGCAAACCTCGGATAATCTGGAGTTTCCCAACATTAGGGTACATTCTGGGAGTAACTATAATAATAAGGATTATCAGATCGTATATTGGGGTCTATATTGGGGTCCTCCTATATTGGGAAACTACCATCTAGCGAACGTGAGGCCCAACTTGGGTTAGGCCCCCACCCACTAATACTGGCATACTAGTGGTCACTATTAGTGGGTGGGGGCCCAACCTAAGGCCCAACCTAATATGAACAGAGGACATCTACGAGATCCCGGTGAAGCTCATCATCAACAGCTTAGAGCCGGAGGTGGCAGTGGAGGCATGGTCGGTAAAACGTGAGTTTGCGTTCCTCCAAACCCTTCACTTGCTAGGGCTTATAGTAGGGAATATGGCATTTGGAATGTATTATGTAGAGGTTATATTTTCCCATATCCCATATCAATAGCCAGTAGGTTCAACTCTGAGCATTCTGAGATTGGAGATTCCTTAAGCAGCTTTTTGTTTGGCAGGTTCCCAGCCCAGAGCTGCCCCCGCAGCTACAGTCAAAGACTCTCAGCTGCAAAGACTTACTGGCTCTTAGTAGGGAATGACGGAATATGATCCCTATATCATCCCCATATTACATTGGGGCTTATTCCTTACTAACCCCAGTAGTGAAAAGGATCCCCGGCTGCATTTCACTTCTCCAGTTCGCTGAGCTGGACCCAAGGATCGCTGATGCGGCCGGAGCCCCATCTATTCGTAGCTTGATCCGTTCCTTCAGCCGCATCACTTCCTGTGCCTTTTGACTGGTACTGAACCAAGTTCTGGGCGTGGCAGATACGTGATGATGCTTTCTAGTATTTCAACGCAGCACATGCTGCTGTTTGCGTTCGCAATGCAAAGATGACGATGTGGACGGTGTACCCCTGAGCAAGATGAGGTCCTGGCAGCCTGGAAAAAGCAGCTCAAGAAGAAAGCTGCGCCGGTTGCCGAGCCGGAGTAAGGCTTTAAGGTACCAGCAGGGCAGATTGAGATATATTCCTTTATTCCTTACTATAGCTCCAATACATACCCCATCATGATCTAGTAGTTTGCATTTTCTTTTCCATTACTCCCTATAGAACCAAAATATATTCCCTACCAACAAACGAGGCCTTGGGGGATCATGCCAATCTTTGAATGGGCAACTTGACTGAAAATAGTTTGCTGTCGCAAGCGAAGGAGCCAGCAGTCTTGGCTGAAAAGGTAGATGCTAACTTCGCCAAGCTCTTGCAGCTGGATCCGGACTGCCTACATCCCTATGCAGCCAGGCTGTTAATCCCTAGTCCTCAAGCTTGCAGTGTCCCTGGCTTGTAATGTTGCTTGGCTCTAAGGAGGGCTGCGATGAGAACGATTGTTCTATGAGAAGGCATATTGAGCTGTAGCCTTCTCAACACAGTCTGGAACTTGGCCCTGCAGGTATGCGATCGGTCCTCCTGCAGCCCCGGCGCCTGAGCCGGCGGAAGAAAGCTGCCTGGCTGTAAGAGGTTATCTGACGCCACAAGCGCGGCTGCATGGCTGCCAGCGCCGGCTGTCAGCCCATGATGCTGGTAAAATTACGTAGAGTCGTGACCGAGCTGTCGGATGTCTTTGAAACCAGTATGTGGTAACGAGGTGAAGAGGAGAGTGAAGAAGAGGAGGAGGAAGACGATGCTGAAGCAGAAGATGGGGCCTCAACACGTGAGTGCTTTGCATGGTCTAGGATGCATGTGCTCTAGTAGCAAGTGCTGCTGCTAGCGCATAGAGCAGCAAAGTCCAGAACGTCCCGCATGTCCGAACACCTTTGTCAATGGCCAGCTTGGTTGCTCTGATCTAGCCATTGGCTCTTTAGAAATGACGCTGAGAACAAAATCAGTGCCACGCCTTGTTTGAGACGTTTATAGTTGCGGAGCGACCGCGTGTTTGAGATATCCTCCGGGACTTTCCTGTCTGCAGTTTGAGCAATGGACTCCTGGCACCATTACCACTTATGGCAAAGTCTTGGCTGGAAGCTTGGGGACGACATGCTGTTTCATTGCAGTGCCTGGAACTGCTTGGCTCCATGTACTGTACTGTGTCTCCAAGGCCACCGCTCAGTTTATCTTGAGTGGGCGCTGGCGTTGCTGATCGTGGCCGCGGCTCCTTGGACGAAGCAGCGGCGCTCACTGCAAGACCTATTAATGGTGCAGATGCTCTTGTGGTCCCGCAGTCTTGGTTCAGGGTCAGTCTGCAGCACAAACGTTTGTGTCGTGCGATGTGTGCCCAGTAGCAGGCCCTGGATTTTAATAGAACAACTCTTGTGATGAGGTTGTGAGCGCTTGGCGGGGAGCTTGGCTTGCGCTCGATGCGCAGCTTTGGCCCCAAAGGCCAGGAGAGTGTCCTCCTGAGGGCTGTTTTTGACCGCTTGCCTTGGGAAGGCCCACAGCAAGTGCAGCTTTGGGGCTTGGTTGGGGCGTGGTCCTCTTTGCAGTCTTGGGCAACTTGATTGCAGAGGGGCGGCAGCTCTGCCCTTGTTCAAATCAAAATGTTCCGCAGCATCAGGTTTCCTTCAGCCTTTGCTTGCAGCGGTCTCTGCCCGGATGAAGCACCAAAGACTGGCATGGCTGGCAGACGCGCTTTTCAGTTGCTTGGGTGGAGCTTGAGATAGATTCTTGCCATTTGGAAGTGTTGAGTGTTGCGTGGTGTAGGTTCTAGATGGTTCTAGAGGTTTTGTACAGCTTGTATTCTCGAAGCTGCGCATGGCTTCCAACGAGTCAGAACTGCCACTATAAGAGAAGAAGCTCCGGAAGAAAACGCAATTGAGCTGGTTTCCTGGATCCTCGGGCGCTTGAGTTGTAGGAAAGCAAAGTATTAGCATTCAGTTGCCTCCTTTTGCCTCCTTTTGCCTGCGATATGACTTGCTGCACTGCAAAATACTCAGATCTTGCCCATCTCAGCCTGCTCAAGCTGACAATCTCATTCTCAGACTCCAAATGGATATAGACACCCACACAAAACCCAGGCTGGGTAAAAGACAACGCGGTCTCTATGCTGCTACGTTGTCAAACACAGGAAAAGGTTGAAGTCTGGTTTGAATTTCAGCTATTGTCAAGCATTTTGTACAAACGTGAATGTGCTTGATGTCTTGCGGGCGTTTTGCTTTGTGGAGTTTTCTGGGGGAGATTGGATGTGGAACCGCTATTGTTTGGGTGGTTTGGCAGCTCTATCCGTCTGCAGTCCGATCAGCTGTTGCGCCTGATGATTACAGCTTGCTTCCAAAACTCCTAGTATCCCCCTTAGTAACCCCTATAGTAGTCCCCTATATCATCCCCTATATAACCCCCTTTAAGGAGTTTAGATTATGGCTCATGTAGGCTACGCCGGCCTTTGGTGTTGCGTCTTGGTCTGGCGTGGAGTATGGCAGCTTTGGGACGCCGCGTTGGGGCATCAGGGCTGCAGGTAGTGGCAGGTAGTGGCATTGGTGGGGTATAGTCCCCCTTAAGTAGATAGAATATGGGGTATATGGGGGTCTTATTCTAGCCATATTTTATCTACTTAAGGGGGACTATAAATCCAGATGGTTTCCTTTTTGAAGGTATGGTCTGACGCCAGGCTCCACAGACAGGACCTGGGCCTCAGTGCTGCACCTTCTATTGCTGTCATTTGTCTGCAGTCCAAAGCAGGACGCTGGCAGCGGGTGCCTGGTTGAGCCACGTAGTCGCCAAGCTGATCAAGTAAAAGGACCTTGGCTTGGCAGTCGTGTGTGCTTCCCTGCAAGGTCGGCGTCCTCATCCTGCTCTGTGCCGGCGGCGTACGCAGCCTCAATGCGCCGCCGATGCTAATTCTATCGGACGCTTTAACCGAATGATGCCTTTCTGTTGGGATCCTCCGGTCAAAGGGAGGCTTGCGGCATTCGCCTCTTAATGCCAAGGACACGACCACACCGCTGTTGGGTGCCCGCGCGACCTGTGGAGTCCGTGGCTTTGCTCCCGCCCGTCGATGTACAGTTCTTCCTGTGATTCAAACTCCCGGAGAATGGCACGAGGCTGGGCACTCAAATGAACAATCAGAATCATGCGGGAAATTTTCTGACCATGTTCCAGGCCGTCGGCTTGCCATACGACTCGCATGAGGCGACAGAGGTGAACTGCATGTCGCCGAGTGCCAAACCGGTTTGCTATGGGGAAGAGTCCCCAGGAATGTCCAACTTGCACACGTAAGCTGCCACAATTGCAGCCTGCAAAAGCTTTTTGCCAGATGCTGGTCAGAATTGTTGTTGATTTTCATTTTTGGCCTGGATTTTGACTGGTCTGGCATCTTTGCCAAGTCCAGGATGGCATAATCTTCAAAGGAAGTGCATGCCTGACCTGACGTACTCTATGAGGGGGCTTCACCAGCCAAATGGTCGAGAGACAAGGACACCATTTGCAAAGGCTCAGACTCACAGGGCCCTCGGTCCCTCAGCCTGTACATGGAAGCCTCGTTCGGAGAAGCTACATGTACAATCTGCTTTGTATAGCTCACGCCTCAACCTTGTACAGCACTTATACTGCTTTCGATGATCCATCGCCCAAGGCGAACTGCGGCATAGCAGAGTAGCAGCAACCACTCCAACTGAAATGTTTTGCATATCTCATGCGTGTTTTGACGAGTTTCAGCTGAAACTCTGCTGTGGCGGGCGGCTAAGACAACGCTTTGCTCCAGACCGAAAGCACATGCAGCGCGTCCAAAGACTTTTCTTTCCCTTGGCTTTCGTCGTACGCGCTGTAGAAGCGTGCTAGGGGAAAATGGTCATCACTTGCAAAAGTAGCAGTCGTAGTCGCAAAGGCAGTTGCAGCGGTGGAGGCGGTGGTAGGAGTACTCGCAGCAGTCGGGGTAACAGTCACAGCACACGAGATGGTAATCACCGTGGCAACATGCCTCACGAACATGTGCACAGCAGTTTGCTCCTTGCACCACTAAACTCTAGATCAAACGGGCGGTGAAGCACGTTATGACACCTCAGGCCATGAGAGAACGGCTTGCAGCGCTGCTTGCCGAAGTAGAGAACTCCGGAGGAGCGTGGCTTAGGAGTTGAAGCTATTCTTGTTATGCATTTCATCCATCTCTTTCCCCTGCCATTGCAAGTCTTCTTGCTTTGATTTTGTTGCCGGTCGTCCTCATGAAGCTCCAGCTGTCAGAGTCTTGCAGGCGACGGCCGGAAGAAGCTGTCGCCAGAGGAGATCGAGCGCAGGAGGAAGGAGGCGGAGGAATTAGGTTGCAGCCTTTGACCATTTTCCATCAGATTAGAGCCGTCATTGCCTGCGGTACCTCCTAGGTGACAAGTGTAAGATCATGTCGAAGAAGGCCAGGGATGCTGGTGTGCCTATCTTGTTGCAGCCACTGTGAGCTTTCTTTTCCCTTTCTTATGGTGCGTTGACTCTACAACGTGTTTATTGTCAACCAGGCAGTTTCGATCTTTACTTGTGTGGCTCTTTTCGGGGTCTGGCCTGGACCACAGGAGCGAGATGAACAGAACAAGTCCCGCAAGGCGTGAAGTGCTCTGCTGGAATCAACATTGTAGACAAGTTTTGCCAACGGTTCTTACGGAAAAGCAGGTTCGTTGTAAGCAAGCCGGGTTCGGGATTGGCATCCCAAAAGGAAAAGAGATCCAGAATCTTTCTGTCTTCAGCACAGCAACCTCAAGCACATATGTCACAGTGTTGGTGCTACACTGGTATAGCAGCATGAGTAGTAGCAAACCCAATCAGCCAGCTCTTGTAAGACATAGCAATGATAGTGACCAATCATGATGTCAAAGATCCCTGAAGGAGAAGGCCGGCCAGAGGCAAGCCAAAACAGGATCCAAGAGCCGAAAGTTTGAAGGTGAGGGGGCCACTTCCAAGGCGCCGTCATCCCGATTGTTGCTATCGTTGTGGCTCTGGTTCCTACTTATAATTAGAGTTATAGCTGGGTCTTTCGTTTCCATAGTAATTGTCGTCAGCACATTCGTCTTGGCCCTGTGGCACAGGCAGGCCCTGCCGTCCGTTTCCAAGCTTGTGGCAATCAGAACCGTCCTGCCGTCAACCTTCCTCCGATCTCCCTGACACCAACCCCAACCAACCGGCTCTCATTTCCTGAGCTCTGCTTGTCCTGCCAGCCAATATCTTCTATGTTCAAGAACGTTTGTGCAAATTGCTTGTGCCGTTTGTGGTTCCCCTTCTCCCCATGCTATTTGTGGCACGCAGCAATCCCTCTGCTGCGGTACCTCCTTGGCACATGTGGCAACACCGCATTACGCCATACATCCATTTAAGCGTTTGGGGCTGTTGGAAGAATGTTTGAGAGGTGCAGTGCGCCCATGCAGTAGGGTGCAGAAGGTGCGAGGGAACTATGCCAGCGAAATCCAACAAAGTTTGCTGCACTCTTGATGCTGGGATGGACAGAAGCTTAACGTTGCTGTCAGTGCTTGGACCGTTATTTGCAGGCGCTGCTTAGCAAGTAAAACTTCTGGTTCAGGCAGTTCACTTGAGGCGCCTTTTACGCGTTACGAGTTCGTGATTGCAGCGCTGTGCACTTGTGCCTTCTAATTCTCCTCGTCGGAGTCTTGGTCAAGTACTTCTTCCCGGAAAGCCTTGCTGATGCATCCATTCCGATCAGAAACCCAAAAGGACAACCGAAACCACGAAAGGAACCCGCACCACCCAAGAACACAGCCGAACAACAAAGAACCGAAACGAGAACCGACCTGCAACACTCTCCTTGCTTTAACGTTATCAGGTGAACAATGAGGGCTTCTCAAGGGCTCCTAGACCTGAATGTAAGAATTTGTGATGGCTTCTTAAGAGCCCCCTAAACCTGAGTTCAGAAATTAGGCTTCTCAAGGGTTCCCTAAACCTGAGTTCAAGAATAATGAAAAATTCTCAAGGTTTCCCTAAACATGAATAAAAAAATTGGAATAGCAAGGGCTTCTCAAGGGTTCCTAAACCTGAATTTAAGAATAGTAAAGGCTTCTCAAGGGCTCCTTAATTTTTTTTTTTCGACTCCGGCTCGGGGTCAAAAAAAATCCGGCGTCAAACAAAATTCCGGCCTCAAGAGGGTGGACGAAAGCACGCAGGTAATGGGTGTTGTGAGGGTGATCAGACCCTTAAAAATGCTGAGTGCCGACATGGTCGACGGATTAATAAGAAACTAAACATGGACACTGTCAAGGCGATTTTATGATGGACCGCATTGCTGTTTCTGACTCTCATGATGCCTGTAGTCTACCATTTGCCTAGTTGTAGTGGCCTCTCAGAGTGTTGCAGGAAGAAAAGAAGAAAAAGAACACGGAGAACGTCAAGAAGCGAGCCCTGGTTCTGTGCTGGAAGAACACAATACTTCACCTGAAGCCCTTAAACAGGGAACCTATCATCCGCCCCGGCTCTTGGCAAAGTAAGCCTCCCAGGCAGCTGCAGAATCAGCATCCTAGTATCCCCCTCTGACGCTCACTCTGCTCCCCCAGAACTCCCGAGGATCCGAAATGTATTTCAGTTTTGTATTGCGAGCAGCTGAGGATTTGGGCTTGCATAGTGAGTTGACCGCCGCCAAGTGATCAGCCCGACCTTTCGTTTCTAAGACTGATGTGGATGTGGGATGCATATCAGAAGCTAGTCAGTTCCTTCAAGAAAGTCGATGCGCCGTATTTGGTATTTCTCTTTCAGTTCATCCAGGTCAGTCTACATTTAACACCTGGAAGTTTCCGAACAATTTGCAAGTTACAGCTCCCATAGGATACCCCAAATAGGGGTTCATGCCACATGGTCACATGGACCCACAAGAACCGACTCTGGGATCTTCAGAATCTTCCAACTAACTAGCTCGGAGAGTTACGCGTTAGTGCTGTTAGACAGTCTGGACCGATTTCGCTTGCGGCATAAGTCTGTAAGGTGTACAGCTGCGAAAGTTGTCTCGAGCTCGTACCGGCAACGTAGCTCAACAAGCTCCCAAATCTTTAAGATGTCTCACTTCGGGCGTAGGCCTTCAGAATGTGGTAGGCATGTTGGTAAACTAGCGACGCGGTGCGTCCTGTTGCATCCCTGGCCCTCCAGACTAAGCCCAGTGCAGCGTTGTCTGACGCACTCTGCGCTCGCCAACGTGGTCCAACATGTGAGAAAAAAGCGACTCGTCGAACATGGAGACCGTTAACGTACGGGATGCATCTGGATGCAAAGGCTTGCGAGTGCGGTCTGTACATTCCGCAGAGAGCGTGGGCCCAAGCGGCCTGGGCCTCCCGAGCCACGGCAAAGGCAGCAGGCCACAATAGACGATGAGACATATTTCTCCCATGATGGCACAGCTGATGTCTTTGAAGGATGGCGGCGGCCTTCTTCGACAGGTGGATGGGATGTTGACTCTTTTGTTATGATCCTGCTGCCATGCGCAGGTTGCCTGAGCGCCTGTCTCAAGCGGAGGATGGGGAGACACTCGAATGGGCAGCTTTGTCAACAGACGTGTTGCATTATGTTGCTCTGCTTGCAGCTCATCTTGGTCCTTGGTTTTACTGGAATTTGCAGGAAGAGCTCCGGGAGCATCTTGTTCAAGCTGCTAGAATAGCAACTGTCCTGCAAGCAGCTATGCTTCAAAATGGTCAACTGCCGGTTCTGAGAACGCATATCAAGCCTTGGTAGGCTTGGCCTGTTTGCCCAATGGGTTTGGAAACTTATATGATTACCGCTCAATATGAAAGGTCCGGAACAAGGGCGAGCTTGCATCCCGATCCAGGCCCTGATCCAGAGCTCCGGATCAAGTCCCCGAATTCCGTTCC